CCCCAAAACCCCAAAACCCCAAAACCCCAAAACCCCATAAAAGAGAAAGAATATTGAGCACTAATAATATATTCGCAACATTAAAAATAGATAATCATGGACTTCAAAAGCACTGGAGTTTATGAACCAATCCATTTCCTCATCATCAGTGAATGTGGTAAGTGCTTGAGATTGTAATATATTTTAAGTAACTTTGAAGATCAAATCTCAAAGATGATAGATCCATTGTATTAAAAGAACTTCGAGAAATTTAGTCTTCCCTAGACTTTGCCAGCTTAGTAGAGTATAGCCTCAACAAATAAAATATTTAATCTTCTTTCAAATACAATAGGGTCTGTGTCCTAAAATAAGCTTACTAACTTTGATCATCACTCCATATCTTTCTTTTTGTTTTATTTCTAAAATTATACTATTTCTCATAATTTGTTCTATTGCTTTACAAAATTTAACTTTATTACTCCAAACTTTCAAATAGCTTCTTTTGATGTTTAATATCCTTTCATGGAAAAATTGCTCCTACTCTATCATTTTGTAATGAGTTTAACTATACTCATCATTTATAAAGGATCTGTTATTATCCTACTAGCATTAAAGCACTACTTGGTTCTAACATTATACAAAATAAATAGCTTACTTTTCATAGTTGAGCAAGAGCATCCTTCATACGAAGACAGTCTTCAAGCTTATCTATCTCTCTTTGATCAGTACTGCCTATGAGACTCGATCATCAGAGAAAGGAACAATGATAATGCTCTCCCCTTTTTGAACCGATTCTGAATGAGTTTTAATCAGGCTGAAAGGGAGAAGTTTGAAGAGGATGCTCCTCCTTCACAATTCATTAAACCCTCCAGTTTGATTATTAGCCAAGTAAGCACCTTTCTATTCAAATAACTTCATTTTCCACATTTTATTAATGCTTCATTCAGGATTTCAATTTAAAATCTGAAATTGACAATGAAGAAGATAAACATTCTGAAGAAATTGTAACAAGTAAGCTCAGATTTAGATCGTTCTAAATGAATAGGTCCTGATGGTACTCCTATGTACTCTATCAGAAAACTCAAAAGATTCATTAGAAAGACTCAAGCAAGGCTCAGTTACACCTGCATGGTTGACAGCTGCAAAAGAGCCTTCAACAATCTCAGTGAAATGCAACTCCATCAGAAGTCTCATCAAAAACAGCGGCCATTTAAGTGCCCATTCTGTCCCAAAAGCTACACTCAGAAAGGGAACATGGTGAAGCACAGAAGAAGCCACTTGAACCCAAACCTGGATGACAGAAGAAGGTTCATGTGCGAGTTCTGCCACAAAGGATATACCGAGAAATACAATCTGAAGGTAAGGTTCCAAACGGACATTTTAACTGTGTAGACCCACCAGCAGAGGTTCCACCAGAGGGAGTACCAGAACAGACTGAGAACAGAGAGCTTGCAGACTTAATAATTTGATTCTCAAAGTTGTCCAATAGTCCTATCTTCTTGCATTCGCTTCGCTATATATCGTTCTGTGACAATTTTAAATTAGGATTTCCAATTACAAAGATGACTTAATTCATAGTGAAGTAGGGGCATGTATGGAAGTCTCTTAGAAATCTTGCCAGATGACTCTCTTGAGTCTTAAAAGTATATTAACTAGTTGGCAGAAGCATCATCTAAACAGATAAGACCCATTTTCAATGAGAATATCAAGGCGAAGCGTTGCTATAATATTTCTACCAAGTGGTTTTAATATTCATAAATTATTCAGAAGGTTAGAAAGTATATGAATATGTTTCATACCTCCACTTTCTCTAAGATGAGAATGCTTAAATTTATAAGAACTCGAGCTCATTATGATAAAATCTTTCTTCCTCGTGTTTGAATGTTCAGGCTTACTTGAACATTTTTGCTATGCAGTGGAAAAAGTGAGATCAAGAATCTTTTCAAAGTTTAGCAAAGAACAGTAGAGACCTTATTAATTCTGAGGCTAAGAGTCGTATGAAGAGAGTTAAATTTGAACAAAGCGCAGTTAAATCCCATTCATAAGGATCTTGCCTTAGTATTATCAAAAATGAAGTCATAAAATACTTTGATTAGAAATAAGGCTCGTACTTTATAATTTGTCATCTTTTTGAAAAACTGGCTATAGAGCAGAAACTTATATAATTGCGCCTTAAACTTGAAAATCTTAGAAAATCCTTCCAATCTTCTAAATAGTAATCTCAGCAAAGGTCTAGTTACTCCTGTACCATCGAAAGGAGTAAATACATAATGAATAACCTCACAATTAATGTCACTTACATTATTATGTATATTTTATGTTTAAAGACAAATAATTCTATTCTTCTTAACCTACCATTATTATTCCAGAGGTCAGTTAATAAACTCCTCCACTATTGTGCAAACTTTCATAGATTTTTAAAGAAATTTTTGAGGCAAATTTGCATGCCATATTTTTCTAGTCCAGTGCTCTCATTGGTAATAAATAGCACCGATTGCTATTTTCTGGGAAGGAAATTAAGCTTAGCATACCTGTAAAGAGGTATCTTTAGAGTCGGCTTGGCCTACCCCTCAGTCTTAAGAATTATAACTTGCTAATAAGATTTGGGAAAACTTAGCATGCATTTTTGAAGGGCCCTTCCTAGCATGCCTAGGAGTTCAGTAAACATAGGCCATGCATGATGGAAGAAATAAAAATTGTAGCTCTAATCTGAGCTCAAAAGGAGCCCTCTTACAATTTTTAATGAATCCAATTATGGTCAATTTTTTCTATGACTCCATGTATTAAAAATTCAATCTGTGGATGGATGAAGACTTCAAGAAGCTAGCAAGATATGACCAAGCTAAAGCTGGCTCTTTTGTAATTTTCGACGTTTGAACACTCCATCTCTTAATGATAGAGAGCGATTAATAAAAAAGTTCTGCATAGGACATATTACATTGTGAAGACTTTGAAAAGATAAAATTTTAGTATTAAATCTGAATTAGAATTAAGTTATCAACTTAACTTTGTCCAAACACGTTACTAACTTTGGCATCGTAGAATGCTGCTAAAGCCTTAATTTGCTTAATTCCAACTATGATAAATCAAGATGAACACTCTGGGTCATCTCAAAAAATTTAGGCTGACTGTGTTTAGCAAGACATATTTGGAGTTTAATCATTCTTCAAAAATATTTATAACAAATATAGTAAGAAATAGAATTTGGCCAAGCTCCAAAGGTTTTTATGTTCATGGAACCTGTGGGACTTCTTGATAAGAGACTGTCTTTGGACAATAAAGACTGCCTGTGAATTCTTCAATTCTTTTACAGCATCAAGAATGAGTCATGAGCATCGGAGATTTCAACCCGACTGGCTGCATTTTTTAAGGAAGGTTCTCAAGTTTACTATCTTTTTCTTCAGAATCGATAAAGTAAACTTTGAAAGATTTCTTGCTGGCGGACTTGCTGATATTTTTAGCAATAGAATTTTATATATGTGAGTATATCTTCTCAACTGAAAAGAGAGCATCAGATTATTATTTATCTCCATGCACTCAGTTAAATTCTCTGAAATTGTTTTATCTAAGCTTTTGAATCCTCAATGAAGAGAAATGATGGAACTGGGCTGATAGCACTTATTTTACATGCAAACACAAGTTCAAAATAGCAATATGCTCATCTATCTGTGGGCAAGCGTCCTCATATTTTATGAAATAATTTTAATGACAGTTAAGTTTAGTGTTAATTAATTCTGATTCATGCAGTTAAGCTCAGAATATGGGCTTAACCCTTTGCTAATTTGGCACAATAAAGTAAAAATTATTGACTCGTTCTGCTAATCTCATGAGAAATCCTTCTGTCAATAATTATTTTCAAACATATCAAGCTTTCGGAATCGAAGTTCGATCAATGAGTATGGCTAAGCCTAAATGAATTTATTACTTCAAAATTAAGGATCTTTGATTGCAGCAAAACAGGGTGTCTTTCAGAATTAGATGCTTACTTAAAGACCTTATCCATCTTCTCAGCAAAGGCCTAACTTTATGATGGGAAATGTTACTATAAATAACGTATTGGTTCATGAAGAAAAATTATAGTAAAAATATAGCCTGATATTTATAAAATGTTTGCTGTTAACTTGTGAAAGAGATGAGAGTTATAATCTTATGCATCTCTGATTAGGAAGAGGTTTAATCAGAATTTTCCAATATTTGGAAGAATTAGTATGTTCAATGCTAGCTTGAAAAAATTTGCTATTAGGAAGTATCTATAGTATCTAAGGGTGAAAATGTTATTTTTAAGCTAATTTAGAGTATTTATATGCTTTTACGAGGCCTTGAAACAGTTACAGCTTAAATTTTCCTCCCTTTGTAGATATTTAACCGTTATGACTTGCCAACCAATAAATTTTAATTATAGAAAACTATAAGTTGGGTCTATGCTCATTTTATGGTTAAAAGTTATTTTGAGGTTCATACCAACACTGGGAAGCCAAAAAAATGAGACTTGAGCATCATCTTTATTCCTTACCCATACTAAAAATTATTAACCATCCAGAATACTTTCCAAACCAGTCAATTCCAAGTTTAGACATTTTGAAAGCTCCTAATTGTTTATTCAAGAGAAATTTAAAGTAGTTAAGTTTGTGATTATGAAGATTGAAATGATTAAACCCCTCGTCAATTTAATTATAAACCTCCTGAACAGATTTTTCTAATTTATAGAATATTAAAGAATTTTCGCTATTTCTTATAAATTGTTTTGAATCAAAAATGGTTAATAAATACCTTCTCAGCCAAGATAGACTCTGCCAAGACCCTTGTATCTGAAATAAAGTCTTAGTTTCAACGTTGTGTTGCATCTCAGCGCATCCGCATTAATTTTTAATCATGTCTTAATCATAAAAATGATTCTGAATAAACTCAGGCTTCATGGTTATGTATGTTATAAGCTCTATAACCATTAAATCTTAGCACCTACCTCATTTATTTCAATTTAGCTCTATTATTGTCCATAAAACAACTGAAAGAGTGTCTTTGGAGCCATTTTCTATTTTAAACTTTACATTCCAATCGCGAGGAGACGCACTGGGGTTTTGGGGTTTTGGGGTTTTGGGG